AAAGCACATAGATTGTACCGGCCTTTGTACAGTTTCCCTGGCCTGTGCCCCTTCTTCAAATAAAAGCCTTGCCAACAGGCTGGAGGGCACCGAGAGGCTTGCACTGTCATTTGCACTTGGGGGATTTCTTAACAGAACCAATAAATGTAGCTGTGTAGTAAAGACTTTCCTCAGCACTTAGACGGCAATTTTCTCTAATTCACGAACTCCCCACCCTTCCTATTTTCTTTTTAGAAGCAAGCAGATGAACTTGTATTTCTGAAAACTACAGTCTCTGATGTAAATTCAGCTTCTTGCTGGTATCTACCTTTGAAAGTATGGAATCATTTCAGAGAAGACCAATGACTAATCCAAAGTCCATGCAGATCCAAATGTCTACAGCTCCAATCAATCAATAACTTGTCCTAAAATTCTCTTTGTTCAAGTACTGCATAAAGCAAGTAACATAAGCAAAAAAGGTGTTAAAGCAGCATTGTAAAGCTGCTAAATTCTAATCTTGATTTGAGTAAAGTTTGGAGAATGGTTCTTGTCTTGCATTCGAGGATCGCCTCATCAAGTCACAAATTATTTTAACTGTGTTGCATATGTTTTAGATTTTGATGGATTTTTAGTTGTGCAGCTAAATATATAGCTGCTCATCAGTTACAACTTGGAAAGCAATTATGGCTATCCTGTGTGCTTGGGCTTCTTGGAATATGTGGGTGCAAGTAACAAAAAGCTAATGAATTCATGCCAGTAAATCAAGTTTAATTTGCCTGTCTTTTCTCCTCCCTTCTGAAACTGGCTGAAACAAAAGTTCCACTGCTAATGCAGTGACTAGCAAACATGGGTGCCATCACAAATAGAACACTGCCAAGAGGAAACCCTCCATTGACTAATATAACTTCCTGAAGCAACTGCAAGATATTCCAGGCATTAAAATGCTAGAGGTTTGAGGATGCAGTCTACACAAAATGCAGGCACTCTTACATCTAGAGAACATGGATTTTACTGCCATTTTTGATAGACTGAGGATAAAAAAATGTCATTACATTTTGTTAAAAACTACAAATATCTACCTCTAGTCAGGCATGCTGTCAAAGTGTGGGTCCACAAAAACACATAAGAAATAGCAGCTTCGCTGTCAGCATCTAAATACAGAATGTTGTAGCTCAACACATTCTGCTTCCATACAATGCCTAATCTGTTGTGCCAGTAGAAACAATATAGAAAGACAGCCTGTTATTTTGGAAAGGAGACTACACACTGGTGACAATGGATAGCACTTAGAAAGTGCTTGTCATTATCAGAGCATCTACTTTAATGCCTTTTATTTTTCAGTTAAACTCCCTTGAATGAAATGCTATTCTCTAGGCAAGACATCATCAATAGTATTTTACAAAAATGTTTACTGTTCCTAGAACAATCAACCTATATGAAATCTTCCTCTCTCAATCACTTCTCTTCTACACACTCATTACTAAATAAGGTTATCATAGATCTTGACTACAAAACAGTGTAAAGTGTGACTAATGTGATAAAGATTTGCAATTCTTAACCAAAAACTCAATCCTATTTGATAATATTTGCAACCCCTTTCATTCATTTTACATGAACATTCATGTGAGCCAGCTGCTTTTTAAGTGTTAGTGAAGAGAAAACTTTACAAATATACACACTAGTGGATTTACATAAATATTTTCTGGGCCATTTTCTAAGCTAGGCCTGAGCAAAATATCCTCTGTGAGCCGGTACAGCCCGTGAAGCTGCCAGAGGAGAGCCTTCGGACACAGTGTGGAACATCAAGCAGGCACTCTGCTTGCCCCCTATACATTGCCGAGAAAGCAGACATTGCAAACTTGTGGGGCTCTGTTTGAACAGCTGTGAGCCCCGGGAAGGGAGGAGCAGCTTCAGGCATTGTTCTGCCCCCATCACAATCCCACTGGCTGATTTCTAGCCAATGGCTCCTGCAGTCAGTGTGGGGGTGGGACAGGCAGTCAGGGAGTCTGCTTGAGAAGGCTGATGGCTGGGAGTCAAGCTGGGAAGTCTCCCAGCCACAGCCTGCCTCTGGCACTCCAAATCCTCTGCCCTTCTCCTGCCCTCATATCCCATCCAATGTCACAGCCCAAACCCGCTGCCCCCCCACTCCTGAACCCATATCTCTTCCCAGATCCTGTACTCTAATCCCCTGCCCCTGGACACAAGCCAAATCCCTGCATACCCTCTTGCACTCCAGTCCCTTGCCCCAAGTCACAACCCTCTCCTGCCCTAGGTCACAGCCTACACCCCTCCACCACCTCCTGCACCATAATCCCCTTCCCCAGATCATAACCCCCTCTTGCCCAAGGTCACAACCCAAACCCCTGCATCCTGGTCCCCTAACCCAGGACACAACCGCCTCCTTCACCCAAACTCCCTCCAAGACTCCACACCCTCTCCTGCACCCCAGTCCCTTACGACAAGCTCCCTTCTGCACCCAACCTCCATCCCAGACACCACACTTAACATGGAAAAGTGAGGTCCTTGACCATTTCCCATATTCTTGGAGTGCCCCCCATCAAAAATTATTGCCCATCCCTATTCTAAGCTCTGAACCATGGGGAAGCACCCAAGCCATGAGACTGGTCACATAACAGAAGGAGGGAATACCTGATGCAACAGTTGTAGTACTCATTGGGAGGTTTTGGATGTTACTTAGTAGTTTTGTGGTTTTATTTTAGTGATGATCCTAAGCTCAACACTAGGAGCTGAAATGTCACAGCATGAATCTTGTACTATACCTAGTTAGAGATCAACGTGTACATTATAAAACAGTTGTTTCAAAGTAAACCTCTGAGGCAACAGAGAGACTCTGTTCTTATACAGAAGTGTTTCAACAAACATTGCTAGAACTTCCCATTCTTTTTCAACAGCAGGATGCTACCAAATTAGTGGGGTGCATACTGAAGAAACTAATGGGTTTTTTTAAAAACTCTAGATGGCGCACTCCTACAGCATAAGTCTGTAAATTCATGAAGAAATCTCTAGGTTTCCTTTTGAGATTTTCACGCTTAATATTTTTATCAACATATTACTGTCATCCTAAAAGTACAAAAAAGGGCTTATAAATTAGTTATTGCAGTAAAGCAGCTCTTTGATTTCATTAAATTCACAACTGGCTGAACAGCATACCTTCCAAGTGACATTTTAAATATTTAAAGTATAGCCCAAAAGACAGGAAAACTTTTACATATAAAGTTAACCTGGAGATAGAAATTGTTTTCTGTGGAACTGATTAGGAATAAGATCATAATTAAGGACAGAAAATATTTGTGAGAACTGCCACTTTCTAATCTTGGTGCAATGAACACTGAAAAAACATTCCTAATTTAAGGGAAAAAAACCCTTAACTTTAATTCCTACACTTGCTAGCTATATTTATAATATTTACTAATTATGAATTGACTAATCAAATGCAATTCATTTAAAACCAAAATACATACATCACTGGCATCACATTTAACAAGCAGCCAAAGAAAAAATTTACTTGTATTTTTAAATAATTTTACCAAATTTCAATTCTTTGTTTGGAAACATTTCACGCTTTGTTTCAATGTTTTCCTGTAAAACCAAATTAATCTTGTTTAACCCCCTCCCCCAATCTTTCTGAAGTGATTAAAATTAAGTAAACTGTGTTTCTGAAATGTGAACTTAGTCCATTATAATATCCATGTCCAGGCCCCACTCCTGCATAGGGCAGTAGCATGTTTCAGAGTTAAGATGAATAAGGCAGTTCATGTTTTTCAAGCTGTTGTTCAAGTCAGTTACTGGAGCTACTGTAGGCAGAGTCAAGCAGATATCTGTTAAACCTGGGTCATGTTTTAAGGTATTCTTTGAATCCAGGAGGGACAGAAGCATTTATTTATTTAAATAAATGCTGGCAGGACCAATCCCAACTAAATCAACCCAGCCAGGGCTTTTTCAAGCCGAGACTTAAACACCTCTAGGGATGGAGACTCCACTACTTCCCTAGGTAACCCATTCCAGTGCTTCACCACCCTCCTAGTGAAATAGTTTTTCCTAATATCCAACCTGGACCTCTCCCACCACAACTTGAGACCATTGCTCCTTGTTCTGCCATCTGTCACTACTGAGAACAGCCTCTCTCCATCCTCTTTGGAACCTCCCTTCAGGAAGTTGAAGGCTGCTATCAAATCCCCCCTCACTCTTCACTTCTGCAGACTAAACAGACCCAAGTCCCTCAGCCTCTCCTCATAAGTCATATGCTCCAGCCTCCTAATCATTTTGGTTGCCCTCCGCTAGACCCTCTCCAACGGATGAGATGGACCATCTCATCACATGACCACAGGGGCCTTAGGAAAACTTACCTGCCTCTGACTGAACCTATTTCTATAGAACAACGTGAAGTTTAAAATATGAACCCTATTATTTATTTTGGTATCCACCATTAAAAAACAAGGGAAGACGTATTTGAGTGATTTTTTTTTTAGCTGACGTAATTTCCACTCTGCTGCCCAATTGCTAAATCTGCAGAAGAAACATTTGCACGACTAAATTGCCACAGTTTACAAAATAACAACAGTTTAAGTCTGTCTGAACCAAAGCTTCATAGACCACAAATTGCACTGTTCTGCTAAGTAAACATCTAATCTAGACACAGTGCCATTCACACAGATGCATAGACAAGTAAATATTTGCTCATGCATTAGTACATAAAAGCTACAGTAAAATATTAAGCTCATCTTTAAGCATGTGAGTTAGCTTCACTGTAGCCCAGGCTATGAATATATTGCTTCCTTTCTATATTGTCAATTTCAAAAGAAAATATATAAACAAAAACTTTAATATCAAATTTATTCTTGAATAAACTGTGCTTAGGTACAGTAATGATTCATGTTTGTATAATGAATACGTCTCAGTAAATGTTTACCTTCAGCACATTTTCACTCAAATATTCAATTAAAATAAATTATCTAACATATGATCTTCAGCTACACATATAAGTCTGCAAATCCAAGACATCACTGTACGTTATCATTTAATGAATTTATTTCTATATCATGTTATGGCTTAAAAAGCAGTTACTATACATATAGGATCTAATACATTTAATTTCTTTATTGTCTGCCTGGGATAAGTTATACATTTCCTGGGATAAGTTATACATTTCAGTGAGTTTTCATCATGTCTTCTTCACAACAGAAATAAATAGACATTTCAATTTCTATAAAACATTATTTTATACTAATTAACATTGGAATTAGACATTTAAAGTAACACAACTCATAAGTCATTGAAGGTTAAAACAGAGTTGTAAAATCTAATATTACATCTCTTTCTGATACCCTAAGATTGAGTGATTTGCAGGGTTTCCAACATGTCTTCTACTGCCTTCAGAGAGTACTTAGTCTCTTTCTTACTTCGACCTGCAAACTAAGGAAAAGAAACTCATTTTTACTAGTAACGTGACAGAAAATTCACTACACAATGCTGTGAAATAATCTTGTACAAGCTATGGTTCTAAATGTTAAATCAGAAACAACTTTTAAAACACATACTCCACCAATTTCCTGCAAAAACAAAGAAATGTTTCATTAAGACTGTACCACTGAAGTTAAAATCTCTCTCAACATAGGGGAAAGAATTTCCCCACTCTCTGCAAACATTTGTCATAAACATTTTAAAAAGCTGGTCTTTAATTTCATTTAGATCATGTTCATATTTCTGCACATAATAAAAAGGTAGTAAGATTTTATATTATTTACAGGAAGGAAATGGAATAGTTTGCTTTCAAAAACATACTGTACAGCAAGATAATAATTCTATGAATATGTTTCTGGGTTCAAAATAGTCATTGAGAGTCAACACTTTGTATTTAATTATAATCTACAATTACAATTTTAATTCCAGATAGAATTTGCAATAAAACCTATATTGATAATGAAGGAATATGTAGCCATTCAAATGCTACCTTTGTACATTTCAGCTTTTAAAATTCCTTAATATATAAGTAGCCTAGTATCAGAGAAAAGAAAGAGTTGTTGACTACCCCATGCTGATCTTAAAATGAGTTTTCTAACTGTATTGACAATTCGCATCACTCATCAGGCTGATATAATACAACCGATTTATTGTTTATGTTGGTGCTTAAGCGAAGTGGAAAAAGAAACCCCCACCACCTATTTTTTAATACACGTACACTAAACAATTTGGTGATAAAGTAGTACTGACTATAATTTGCTGTTAGTAAACTACTCTGTTTCTGACTAACTGTTAATGTCTGAACACTTAATAAATTTACAATTTAATGATTTTTTGCTTCAAATATCACTGCTGTCATGATGCTTAGTGCTTGATTTATGATGTGGCCCATCTCTCTTGTAATTAACTTAATTTAGCAAACTTCTCTTGTCCTGTTGAAAAAGATTAAGTGATCAAGCTCAGGTAATATCACAGCAGCCATAAGCTGCAGGAGCTGTTAACCTGCTTTTGACCCCTTAGGCCAGTATTTCTCAATCAGTGGTACGAGTACCCTCGGGGTACTCAAGAGAAGTCTGAGGAGTATGTCAACACAACTGAAATTTGGAGAAAACTGAATTTTTGTTTTAAGTTTAACAGCGCTTTATTATTTTTGTATTTTTTACTCCCCAAAATTTCATCACCTGCCCAGCTACGATTAACTTGTTTAAACAAATGTGTTGCAATAGTAGAAAAAGACTTTGTGAGTCTGAAAACTTTAGGTACTGGGGGTACTTATGGTTTTTTTTTTAAAGGGGGTACTTTATAAAAAAAAGATTGAGAAACACTGCCTTAGGCAACAGTCCTAGCTGTTAGTTTTGTATTGTTAAAAAACTAGATTTGGGGTGGTAAATACAACTGCCCCTTAATGATAGCTCTTTAGAACAGGGGTGGGAAACTTAGGCCAGGGGGCTTTCCTGGATCTGGCCCCTGAAGCTCAGAGCCCCCCTGCAGCATTGAGGAGCCCCCTCCCCCCCCACTGATCCCACTGCCCCACCACAAGGCTGGAGCACACAAAATCTAGTAGGTTGGGCCCCCTTAGTCAAGGGCCACGTCAGTGGGGGTTTGATTTGTGTTTTTTGTTTTGTTTTTGTTTTTTGCTTCTCACTTGTGTGCAGCCCCTGAATGATTTTTCTGTGGGTCAACAGCCCCTGATCCAAAAAAAGTTCCCCACCCCAGTTTTAGAATAACACCAGGGATCGCTTTATGCCTTTTCAGCTGATCAAGTAACTTTTGCCTGGATTTGAACAGAACAGAAAATGCCTTTTTTCTATGCCCTCTTTTTCCCCCACACAAATCAAGAAAAGTCCTAATCAAATACACAGGAAAGTGCAATTCTTTGAGAAATGTCTTTTATTTTAAACTAAACTAAAATATCAAGTAAGAAAGTATTGTGATTGCCGTGACTCTTTCAACAACAGCATAGAATCTTGTGCATGCTGTGGTAAAAAGTAATGTTGCGTGGTAGAAACAGTTGAGGGTGAGGTAGGGATAATCAGAGGAGGAAGGATTTCAAAATTAACAGAATTTTACTTTTGTTTCTGCTTTAAAGACAATGGAAACAAAATTAATATTTTATGTCAATTTAAGAAACATTACTTGTGAGTTTCATGAGTGACTGCCTTAACGATACTGACATAACACTTTAATAAATTAGAATAAATAAAACTAAACTCCACATAATAACAAATTAAAGCTTGAAATCTAATCACTTCAAGTTTTCCTTGATGACCAATTATTTTGCCTACTCTGACATTATACTGAAATTCAGCTGATTGAGCTGAAACCCTTAAAAAAATACTTAATTTTCTGTTTCCCAAACGATTTGTAACAGAATCACCGCTCTAATCATAAATAACATGTGACTCACTAATACTGAAGAATTTAGCAGTGTGCCTAAGAAACATTTATCTGGAAAGTTACCATGAATGGGATCACATTAAAGATTTTCATGAGCATTAATCAAACTTGCCTGCCTTTGCTGAAATGCTTCTACCACAGAACATACTAAACCAATTATCTAATTGAAGAGCATTAGGTAGCAATATTTTGTTTCAATGTTAAGTGAAACAAAGAAAATAGTTGTGCTTTACTTTTTATGTGATTCATGTCAATATTAAAAAAAATGAATTTTATATACAATTGTAGGAACCTTGCTTTGATACCACAGGTCAGAATTTGCCTTAAAAGATTATGTGACCACCACACTATGTAACACAATCTTGACAAAAAGTTACCAGTCTAAAGCATGTAATGCAATAGAAATGCACTTATTCTTCAATGTAATAGTAGCCCATTGTCTGTGCGTCTGTAACACTGACGTATACGGCCACGCCCCCAGCCGTGTATGTCAGCGCCTCGCCCTCCCTCTGTGGTGGTTCGGCCCAGTGCTGCGCTGCTCAGCTGGGCCCCGGCGGGAGAGCAAGCAGCGGCAAGTGGCCCTTTGGGGTCCCGTGGGGAGTGCAGACCCCAAAGGGCCGCTTGCCACCTGGGGCCCAGCTGAGCAGCGCATTGCTTGGATTATGATTTGCTGTTGTAATATTGGGACGTCAACAGAAGAAGCCAAAGAAAAATGTGGTTGATTGATGGTAGCCTATGTCTCTCCAAGAGAAATGCTTTATCAACATCACCAAGGATCTTATGCTTTCCAGCAACAGAGGCATCTATGTGGCGGTGACAAACATGAAGGATTTTTAACATTCACCTTTTAAGTATTTTTATAATCAGGCATAGTTTTGTACAGCTGAGCAATGCCTGCTGTTCACTTGCAAAGTCTCTCTCTGTTTTCAAATCATGCTCTAGTAAAAAAACAGAACCTGAGAGCTGGTCTTAAGAGAAATCATGTTTAAAGCACATTTTTAAAAATAACCAAAACCATTCAAATATAACTTCTACACATCCCTCTTTTTCAGTGCTTCTTTCCAGTTTTGTTTAATTGGCCATGCTTAATGTGTTCTCCTCTATTTTAAGGATTAAAACTTGACTGAGTCTTGTATCTTTTATGAGAATTTGCAATGGAGATCTGTCTACATCATTTAGAGGGGGAGAAGAGAAAGAAAGGGTATGTCTACACTACCCTGCTAGTTCGAACTAGCGGGGTAATGTAGGCATACCGCAATTGCAAATGAAGCCCGGGATTTGAATTTCCCGGGCTTCATTTGCATAAGCCGGGCGCCGCCATTTTTAAATCCCGGCTGGTTCGAACCCTGTGCCGCGCGGCTACACGCGGCATGAACTAGGCAGTTTGAACCAGGGGGTTCGAACCAGCCCTGGTTCAAAGATCTTTGCAATTGCGGTATGCCTACATTACCCTCCTATTTCGAAATAGGAGGGTAGTGTAGACATACCCAAAGAGACGGAGAGAGAGGCAGGAGGCGGAGGAGAGCAGAGGTGGGGGCGAGGGGGAAATGGAGGAGAGAGAGAGAGAGACAGAGCGAAAGAGCTCAGGAGAGAAGACTGGAAAATCCTGTCTTATGATGGGCTAATTGGCTAATTCTTCTATAGTTAGTACTTTCATATGATAGGTTGACAGTGCTTTTACAAATAATTTAACTTAGTACCTTAAGAAGTAATCCTGTTTTCAGCATCAGGTTTAGAATCCAGGAGTTCTAGATAACTCTCTCTTCCTAAATGTACATATTTTTACTACACCAGACACAGCTAAAGAAGCACTAGTCTGAGATGATCAAATATTGAACACCTAAATATATATGGATTGCCAACAAACAAATAAGTTCCTTTAAAAAAAAAAAAAATCAGGAACGAATTCAACTCTCCTGACTCCTACAACTTTCCTTGGGAACCTGACAGAGCTTAGTGAAAGCAAGCCTTCTTAGATAATTCAGCCTAAATTTGTTTTCTTTAACTTCATCTGAGTATTCACAAACAAAATAAACCATTTAATTCAAGAAATTCATTCAATAACTTAAGAGACTCAAGCTTGCCAGAAAAAAAAAGATTTAAAATTAGGTTCCAGAAGCCCTCAGAATAGAAGTAGGCCACTAAAAACATTTTAAATTTGTGCTAATCAAAAATTGAGATCCACCGAAAAACAACACAGTGCATATGCAGCTGATGAAGTATTTATCAAATAAATGTATAGACTTGAAATTGAGAAGTTATTCAAAGTTAATGATATCATCATGCATTAAACCAGTGGGAATTAAGTTTAAAATCCACATAGAAAAAGCCAGGTAAACAGAACTCCCAACATCTCTATATTTCTTCAGTTAAAACATCGATATTCAAAGCCAGAAATCCACAGTAGGCAGACAAAATCAGGATGAAGGATGCATCTCATCTCTCTGCAGTAAGAGGACAAGCATGTCTGAAGGATAAACTGAGTTGCTGACAATGCCAGCATGTCCAAATAGCAGAACTCATAAACCCATGGAAAATTCACTAGATATTATGAG